GGCAGATCTCCGCTTGATCTGCCTCCGTTTTGCTGGTCAAAACCTCTTCCCCACAATCCAAATTGTTCCTGAGGAGACAGCCAGCTGGGAGCTGCGGGGGAAGACTGGAGGGAACGGCCCTCCACCTGCAGCCCCCCTCTCATTTGGTTTCTCTGTAAATATAATTTATTGAGGCCTGTGGGTGGCACCAGGGCCTTCATTCCACCGCACTTCCCACGTGCACAAGTGTGATCAAACGTGGCCTGAAGCACAGTGTGTGGGGTCAGCTCTGCGGGCAGAGATGAGCACTTAGCGGTCTCCTTCGGCTTGACTGTTTTATGTTTATTCTTGTCATAACTTTCATCTTTAGAGTTGTTGTTTCTCCTATCTGTTTGCTTGTCGGTTCGTTGAAAGTGGAGAAAGGGTCTCTCTGTGTCCCGTCCCTCCCAATCCTAGGTCTGGAACCTTATTTGTTCTAGGGCAGCTCTGGGGACATGTGGGGTTGTGGAATTGGGTCGGGAACCCTCTTTGGTATTCTGGATATTGTAGGTTCTCTAGCGGGCCAGAACTGCATATGGACTCTGCTCTGGTTCCAAGACTTAGAGGACCTTTTTTTTTTTGGTGAGCCGGAAATGGAAGTAAGAAGTGCTTCCTGGGGGCCATGGATGTGGGGGCTTTGGCAGTCTTGGAACTGGAGGGAGGATTGGAAAGGCTTTCTCTTGTGGCCTTCACTGGTCCATGAGTCTGGTCACCTAGGTCTGGCTCCACTGTGCCGATCTGTCATGCGTTGGGCTTTAGTTGAGCCCAGAATCCTCCCACTGGGGCCTGTTCTCAGCACTGGGTTGATCCCGTCCTTATCAGAGATGACGCAACCTTTTCTGACTCTGCCCAGACTCTAAGAATGCTATGACCTGTGGGAGAATTATTAAACTCTATCTTGACTAAGAGATAAAGAGTCATGACCAGTCCTTAACTGTAGAGGTGTCTGGGTTCCAATGTTCCTTGGGGTTCTCTCTACCTGAGACAAGCGCCTTCTTCCTTTAGTGGGTTTTCAGACATCTTCTGGCAAGTGTCCAGATTCCAGAAACTTCTTTGCCTCTAGAAGTCACAGGTGCTTGGTAACTTTCTTACCTTAGAAAAGCTAGGTCTGTGACCTGGCCTTCCTGTCACTGCATTCCTGTCTGGAACCGGTGAATGCACTATTACCTTCCACAGGGAGAGAAAAGTGGCTGAGTTCCATTCTGGATTTGCTGTAGTTTGGGATTATGACTGGGATTACTGTTGGGATTAGGGATTTAGAAGATTTAAAAGAGTAATTGACTGATGGTCCTTCTAGTTGACCAAGTATCTGGGTAGGATAAAGAGGTTGTTTGAGGGGCACAGTCCCCGTTGTAGGCCCAGTAGGTAGAAAGTTGGGAACGGGGTTGCCTCTTGACTAGATGGGATGTCTGGAATGTGAGACGATACTCTGAAGCCTTGACTTACAGTCCTTCGCCTGCTGCCTTGGGAGCTGTTTGATTGTGGGGTATGGGTGGAGGGTGAGGAGCACTTTGAATTTGTGGGGTGGGGCTTCCTCAAGATAGGTCAGGACTAATTGCTGCCGCTTGAGGACAGGTGAGAAAGCAACTTTTATCATTCCCTCTTCCTCCCCACTGCAGAACTGAAGTAGGGAGAGAAAGCAGAAGAGAGGTATGAGAAGGAACCATGATTTTTTTTTTTTTTCCCAATTGGATGGGCAGGTGAAGAGCGCCTAGGGGTGGAAATGTTAGATCTTGCAAGATCAGAATCTTGGAATAAAGAAGCCTCTCTGTGCTGCCTGCTGCGTCCAGGATTCTTGCCTGGGAGGATCTGGGAACGGGGTGCAATGGGGGGTGAGGGGGGAGAATGAGGGTTCGTCCCTCCTAGATTCTGTCTTGTATTCTGTGCCCATTCGACCGCCCCATCCCATCAGACACTTTAAATGGCCCTTGTTCTCCCCTTCCCTGCCCTTGCCTTCCGGCTCATTGTGTAGGAACCCGTGACCTCACGAAGTTTGTCCGGAGCCACCTGCATCCTGCTGCTCTGAAGTCACTTCCTGCCCGAGGAATGGAGGCAGCAGGGAGCAACCAGGAGGCCACTAATAATACCAAGAGGCTGGGGGATGCATCTGTGCTGGGGATCTTAATGCTTGGGACACCCCCTACCACCACCAAGGAAAATGGATAGGACTTGGGTCCCCTGAGGACAGTAGAGTGTGCATATGGCCGTGAGAAGGTGAAGCATGTGGTTAGAGCCAACAGGCCAGCTCCAGCCCTCCCCCAGCAATGGTGCCTTGGAATCTATCCAGTGCCCAGGGCCTGCTTCTCTCCCACCCTTTCCCTGTCCCGTGTGTGTCCTGGGTGTGCAGCTCTGTTCTGCTGTGGGCAGAGGGTCACAATTCTGTTCAGTTACCTCCCTTTTGGACTTAAATTCCTCATCTGCGAAAGGCAATTAAAGTGGCCTGCAGTTCCTGCCTACATTTTCAGTTTGTGGTTGTGTTTCTCCATCTTAAAACTTATGACCTAGATTAGAAATATTTCTAAGTAAAACATGAAGCAAAGAACTTAAACTAAAACCTCCCTCCCCCTCCCACCACTACAGCTTATGCCCTGTCGAAAATGAGACCAGCGGGGCGCCTGGGTGGCTCAGTTGGTTAAGCAACTGCCTTCAGCTCAGGTCATGATCCTGGAGTCCCGGGATCGAGTCCCACATCGGGCTGCCTGCTCAGCGGGGA